TTCCACAAATCACATCTTCTAAATCAGGGGTGGGCAATTATTTCAGCTGGAGGGCCACTTAATGAGTTTTGATGAGTTGTCGAGGGCCACACGGGTATTCCTGCCCCTTAACAGGTGCCGCACCCCCTGCTTGCCATCTTGGGACTGGAAATCCCACCCCTAACCCCTGACCTTTGCCACTGAAAGTCCTTGCCCCTGGAAGTACTCCTTTTGGGAGGGGGAATTGTCATCTTAGAATCGGAAAGCAACCAAATCATATACTAAAAATCCAACATCTACTATAACATTTTATTTTTTAAAAATACTTTTGTCCTGATTGACATGTGTTTGTATAGTGTATATGCAGACGATTGCATAATAGCTCAAAATAAAGTCTTATGCTTGCATATTGTTTGTGGGGAGATACGGGGGAGGGTGTCGGTGTGTGTGTAGGATTTGTGAGAAGTGTGAGGGGGTGTGGACGAGGGTGTGGGTGGGTGTGGAGTTTGTCAGGTTGTGTAAGTGTGTGAGGAACATGTGTTAAGGAGGGTGTGTGTGTGTGTGTGAGAGATGCGTGGGGGGTATGTGTGTATATGGTGGGGTGTGTGTGGGGGGCCTCCCCCCACATGCTCCTCCTATGGCACAGCTGCTGCTAGCAGCAGCAACAGGCCCTCAGGGTGCTCATGGCCCGCAGCTCTAATCAAGTCCCAGGAGCTTTACAAAGTGGCAGGAAGAGGGGCCAGGCCAGCCAGCTCCACTGCATGGGGCTCCCCATGGCTCATGTGCAACTCCTGGGATTTGGCTAGAGTAGCACAGTGTTGGTGGGGGAGAGCTCCATGCAACAGAACTGGTGGCCTGGCCCTGCTCCCTGCTCTGACATGCAGTTCCCAGGACTGGGCCAAGGTGTCAGGGAGTGGGGCCAAGCCAGCCCAGCTTCATTGCACAGGGCCCCTGCTCCTCCTGGCCGAGTCCCAGGAGCTGGACTTGAGCCACAGGGAACCCCACGTATTGGAGATGGGCTTGTCCCACGCTCCCATTGCCCTGCTCCGGCTCTACACTCCAACCAATCCCAGCCCCGGCATGGGTCCTGAACTCCCACTGACCTTGCATCCTGGGCTCTGCACTCCCACTGGCCCTGGCCCCACCCTCCCATCAACCCCAGCCCTGCACTCCCACCCAGATACAGCTTCCCCTTCACCTGCTGCCTCTTCCCTACTTGCTGTCTGGAGTACTGCAGCAGGGACAGGAGCAGGAACCACTGGAGGTCAGGGGAGCTGAGCAGTTCCCCAGGCAGCTGCAGCAGTGGCAGTAACAGCCCTGCTAGGAAGCTGTGTGCACTGGCCGGTGCCCGGGACCTTTGGCAGACAAGGGTGGGAGTGGGCAGGGCTCAGCCCCATGTGGAGTGCAGCAGAGGCAACCATGGGCCAGGCTGGATACAATTATTATAGTTTCATTGTTGTTAGGGTCAGAAGGGACCTCAATAGATCGAGTCTGACCCCCTGCCCTGGGCAGGAAAGAGCTCTGGGGTCAGATGACCCCAGACAGGTGCTTGTCCAGTCTCCTCTTAAAGGCCCCCAAGGTAGGGGAGAGCACCACCTCCCTTGGAAGCCCATTCCAGATTCTGGCAACCCTTTCTGGAGGGGAATCCCAGTAAAGAAGTTCTTCCTGATGTCTGACCTAAATCTGCTCTCTGTCAGTTTGTGGCTGTTGTTCCTGGTTATCCCAAGGGGTGCCCAGGTTATTGGTGGGTGCCTGCCCACAGGCCAGATAAAATCACCTGGTGGGTCTAATCTGGCATGTGGGCCATATTTTGCCCACCCCTACTCTAAATAGAGAGCCAAAAACTCCCCTTTTGGTATACACTCCCTTATTCAATCTTCTTTTGAAACTAAGCCACTTGTGGAATGCTATTCCTTCCTAATCTGGAGAACTACAGCGCCAATCCAAGCCTCATAACCAGTGTTCCCTCTAAGCTGTGTGGTATGCACAGCCGCGCAGGTGCACCTGGAAGTGCAGCATGAGCACGCCTGCATGGCCGCACGCGCCACACGGCTTAGAGGGAAGGCTGCTCATAACTGCAACATTTTTATATTGAAGCTAAATGCATAACTGAATTATGGCTCCAAAATGCGTTTACTTATACTAAAATAGTTTTGTCACTGCTACATAGGTTAGACTCACCATGATGCTGAAAAGATGACTTTACTGATCTTTGGCTTTTTATGGCTCAGGGCCCAAATCTGGTGCATGAGGTGGGGCAGCACTGCTTGATTTCAGCCAGGTTGGGGTGCCATGGGGCCCAAATCCTAGTGTGCTCAGGCAGTGCAGTTCCCAGTCTGACCTCCTGACCAGCCCCGTGTCATCTAGCCCATGGGGCCAAAACTGCGAGCACCACTAGTCTACAATATTTGCAAATCCTTTGAAATGCCACAATGAAAGATTTGGATGTTTTGAATGCAGCAGCACTTTGCTTTAGTTCAGACAGTAATCTTGATCACACTGCACCTGTGGGATGGCTGCTGCTTGGGTTTTACCTGTTTCTGTCCAAGTGTCTGCAATGTGTTTATGTGTCTGGACAAAGCCTTTCGAAGTGCGATCTCTGAACACTCTGCACACACTGAAAGCCCTAAATTCGATATGAAGCTACCTTGTCCTTGCAATTTGGAGCATCACGTCAATCAGTTCCACCATGAATGGGGTAGATGACTGTAGAAAATGATGGTGACAACCAGAAAGATGCATAGAGTGCACTGAACGAAAGCCTGTTGGGTAACTTGCCACTGTAACAATGGCTTGATCAATAAGAAAAATGGCTCAAGCAAACCTGCTTTGTAATCACTGACCATACACATAGAAAGAATAAAGTGAAATAAGAATAACTTGACTATGTTCTGGCACTAGTCTGAGGCAGAAGCTGTCACAACAATCTTATCCTCCAGAAGTTTCTTTATGCTTCTCTTAATGCTACCATGACTTCTGCTGTTTGGTTACTTAAAAAGCAATTCATAATGGCAATTTAAAAGAGCAGTTTTAATTTAAATTTCAAAGGGAAGTTTTAATTGCTGAAAAATAGTTGCTCACTAATAGCATAACTGCGCAGCAATGACTTTTAAAATTATTTTGTAGCAATGCTAATATTAACTGATAGCAAGAATTAGGAAACCAAGTGGAAAAGGCATACATAGGACACATTTGTTATTGAGTCATTTTGCATAAAAAGCAAGTTGAAAGCCAAGTGTGGGTGGGTGTTCTGTTCCTTGCCACACAATGTAGTGATAGCATTAGGTGAAAAAATCCACAATTAGCAAATGTAAAACACAATTTACCATTTGAATTTCTTCAGGTGACAGCTCATCTTCGCCTCTGCCATCTCCCCAAAGCCCAAAGTTAGTTTGGGCATCTGTCAGATTCTTCTCTGTAAAGATAAGCAAAAAACCCATACATCTGAACATCTTGCCATGTAGAGCTGTAAGTGCTGTTACATCATTTCCTAGTGCTGTTACGTCATTTCCTAACAATGATCAAAATATTATCTGTTATTTTTAGTTAATCAAAATTCACACTCAACAACTCTTATATGATGATCACGCATATAACAAAGCTGCAGGACTGGGAACAAACATGTATTCATGTGTTTACTTCTGTTGCACAGGAAAGAGCTATCTTGAAGTATGGAAATGAGGCACTGGAACAACTTCCAGGATATATCAAATAGAAGGCTAGACAGATTTGTACCTTCGTAGACTAACTAAATCACAGATGTATTGCACAAGCTTTTAGAAGCAGAGGACTTACTTCATCAGATGCTATCATCTCATATCATCAAGTATGCACACCAGTTTTTGCTGGCTCTTGATTTTTGCTAAAGATATGAAGCAGCTATAACAGTTACAAGGACATTTCCTCCCCACCCCCAAATTCTGCATTTTAACCAAAGTACATGCAAAATTTACAAAATGACATCATCTTCCAGAGAGATTTGATAGATCCTCTGATCTTCAATAGTAACTTCAGAACTTCATTTTAAATGAGATCAGCTCAGGAACCAACTTTTCAATCTACTTATTGTGGTTCTGATCCTGCAGCTGACTACACAAGGGTCTGCTGGTTTAGGATCAAGTTATAAGATCAAGTTCCATCCTATAAACAACACTGACAATTTGCTTAACTTTACACATCATCAGAGTAGCCCTATTGATTTCAAGAGGGCTATATTCATGAGGAAAGTGTCTATGTGGAGACAGTTCAGCCTTTTGATGCTTGACAGGACCAAAATGGTCCCTTAGGCCTGTAAGGCCTAAAACAGCCCTGACATAAGTAGGCTAAGAATGCATTCATGGAGTTATGTGATTATATGACCTGCTCCCTACAGAAAAAAGGGTCTGGTGCAGCTTGTTTTCTGCAAGTGTCCAATGACAGAGGCTTGTTATATATAAAAGGGTTTGTTATGGCGCATTCCACCCATATCTGGAGCAGATGGCTCCTGATACCAGAGAAAGGAAAGAAACAGCAATAAAGGGGAGACATAATTCAAGCTGTTGATGAAAAACAAAAAAATGCCTAACTGGTAGCTATGTGACTAGAGGACTATAAGTATTAGTACTCCTTTTCCCTACCCCGATGATGCCTGAGAACTGACGACATCTGATCTCTCTCTCTTCAAGGAACCTTGCTCGCTCTGGAAGCCTGGCCAGCTCCCAAGTCGCATATTACTAAGACTGGTAATATACAATTACTTGCTTGCTAAGATCGTATCTTGCTAAGATTACTGAAACTGCTAAGATTATATCTATATACATGCTTTGAGTTAATACTTTATAATGCTCAATAAAACTGACTTATTAAGGAGATAACTGGGTTCTCGTTTGGAGACGATAAATAGATAACTGGGTTCTTGTTTGGAGAAGACTGAAGTATACTTTAAGACAATACAATCTTGCTGTTTGCTCCCTCTCTAGTTAGGACAACCAGATACCCCTTGGTTTTTAGGAAAACATCTACACATCAGTTTATGGCAGGGGTGTCAAATTCATCTGGCCCTCTGGGTTGGACGAGTGGTGCAACACCAGTCCATGGGCCAGCTCAGCTCCAGGAACTCCATTCCCCACCAGTGCATGCCTGATATAGTGCCTGAAGCGCCTAGGCAAGAATCTGTGCTACACACAGTGTCCACTCCATCCGGTCCAGGACTCAGGGCTAGACAATGGGCTCTATGGCCTGGATCTGGCCCACAGGACTACCTTTGGCAACTCTGGTTTACAGGACTGAGGACTAAAACAACTTGAAGCCTGGTCATAGTTTATAGTTTCTGGTGTTATAGTTGGTTTCATGGAAAATGATTCCAACGTTACAAACAAGGAACTGTGCATAAACAGCAGAATCTGTTTCTCTCTCATCAAAAATAGACTTTTTTCTGCCCTGGAAATGCCTCAGCATGGAAGGGAGGGCCACCAACATGAATGGGAGCAGACAAGGTGGTGGCTACCCTCTTCCACCCCTCCTGATTGGCTGAGAAGGCTGCCCACCCATTGCACAGCTCTGTCCCTTTCCTCCAATCAGTGGTGAGGGGTGGGGCTACATAACAGACAGCCCTCTTGGCCAATCAGCACTGGGAGACAGGGCCACCTGGACCCCCTTGGCCCATAAGTGGCGAAGGGCGGACTCTCCACAGAAAGGCCACACAATTGGCTCTGTGAATGGCCTGTGAAAATCCCTTTTGTTCACCATGACGTAGGTAGTTCCCTAGTTATTACAGACAATATCCTATTCAGTTTTCACATAAGAAGTTGTTAAAGGTTTCATCTGTCCTTCTGTTCCTATTTACTTGATTTAAAGAAAAAGAGTAATTAGTTTATAGAACTAACTATAAAAAAGTAATAAATATTCCCATTTTTATCCCTGAGGAACCAATTACTTACAGTCACTGCCAACAGTGGGGAGAAACAGCACCTGTAACCAGCATAATCATTAATAAGCAAATATATGTAAGGTAAGCATTCATCCTCCAGGAGTTGATCCTGTCACTACAGCAGATTTCCTGCTTCTGGGAAAGCAGATCTGGGGCTTTCCTGGAGTTGCCACTAGTCTGATCTATAATTCATGATACATGCAAAGAGCAGAGAAAGAAAACTACCTAGTTCTTAGGTTTCAGGAATAAAGTATTCCATACTTCTGCCATACATTAGTTGTTTTAACTACCAACTCCTACTTCCATGCCAAAAATGAGAAACCTTCAAAGCTAACTGACCAATTCAAAAGCTATTTATTATTTATATAGCCTTCCATACACCAAATGTCCTATTGGTAATAAACAAATCAAAACTGATAATGGCTTATGCAAACAAACACCAGATAGAATAATTTGTTGCCACTAACAATGTATGTTAGGCACAATTTTAGTACATAAAAAGGTCTTTTGGATCAAAAAACAAAGTAATCTCATTTCTCTTTGATCTCTCCAGAGAACAGACTAAACCCAAGCTGTGTCACGGTGCTCCATAGTGAAATATTTATTAATCCATATGGTCTAACAAAGGGCAGGTTCTTCTAGTTCTTCTCAGAACTAATCTGTGTAGCAGAGAGGTTCCTATAAACCAGCCCAGAGGCTTTCATGATGGATTCTTCAGAAATGCAAGCATTTACCACTCCCCAAGCTGCTCATATCCCAAGGATAGTTTAGAACACTGTAAGATATTTTTTTTTATTTTTTGGTTATTATTATTAAAGGCACTTTTAAGAAATCAAAGGCAAAAGATTTAAACAGCCTTCCTAATCTTCAGCTGCACCCTAGTTTCCACTGCCACTATTGGTGATACCACAAAGGAAACTGTACAATTATAAACCAAACAGGATTTTTAATCTAGTTCTGTACGTTTGTTTGGGGTTTTTTTTTTTTTGGGGGGGGGGGGGGGGGGGGGAGATTGTATGGACAAATACAAATGTTCTACATAGAACTATATTCATACAATGCCTTTCTGAGTTTCGTCAAAGAATAATCAGCATCACTTATATAACCAAATACAATTTTTGCTACTTGCTTATAAACAATTAAAATTCACCTAATAATAAATTTCCTTCCTAGCACCATCAAAATCAAATCTGAAATGCACCAAAAGGTACCATAAATAATACCTCTTTGCTGCTTAATGTTGTGGTTCACATCTGATGACTCTAGGCAACCAAAGACTAGAGTCTCTTGTGGCATGGCACAGATTTCTGTGCTGAATATTATAACAATGTTCCCGATGATATGACTGCATGTTGTCCAAGACTGAAGTAGTGTTCCATACTCGGGGAACTACAGAGAACTGCTGAAGAAACAACTACGTTCTCTGTTGGCATGTATCAGAACTGTAAAATGCTGATAATGTGTTAAGGAAAATCATGAATACACTTTATATGCCATGTCTAACTTAGTATGAATATGCAGCATGAACTGTAGTGACGCAAACAAACCCTGTGGCTTTATTCATAGATTCATAGATGCTAGAGTTGGAAGGGACCTCAACAGATCGAGTCCAACCCCCTGCCTAGGCAGGAAAGAGTTCTGGGGCCAGATGACCCCAGCCAGATGACCCCAGCCAGATGCCCATCCAGCCTTCTCTTGAAGACCCTCAAGGTAACGGAGAGCACCACCTCACTTGGAAGCCCATTCCAGATTTTGGCCACCCTTCCCGTGAAGACGTTTTTCCTGATATCTAGCCTAAATCTGCTCTCTGTCAGTGTGTACCCATTGTTCCTTATTACCCCAAGAGGCGCCCTGGTGAACAGAGCACCTCCAATCCCTTGCTGCATCCCCCTAATGAATTTGTAGGCGGCCACAAGATCACCTCTCAGCCTTCTCTTGTGGAGGCTGAAGAGGTCCAGGTCCCTCAGTCTCTCCTCATAGGGCTTGTCCTGTAAGCCCCTAACCATTCAAGTGGCCCTCCTCTGGACCCTCTTGAGTCTATCAACATCCTTCTTGAAGTATGGTGCCCAAAACTGGACACAGTACTCCAACTGAGGTCTGACCAATGCCGCATTGAGGGGAAGTATCACCTCCTTGGATCTATTTGTCACGCAACTACTGATGCACGATAAAGTGTGGTTCACTTTGCTGATGATTTTGTCACACTGATGACTCACGTTTATCTTGGAGTCCACTATGCCTCCAAGATCCCTTTCTGCTTCTGTGCTTCTGAGAGGGTCGCTTCCCAGCCAGTAGGTCTGTTGGATATTTTTGCACCCTAGATGAAGCACTTTGCACTTGCCCTTGTTGTACTGCATCCTATTGTGTACTGCCCGCTTTTCTAATCTCTCCAGGTCTGCCTGCAATCGTTCCCTACCCTCCGGAGTGTGCACTTCACCCTGCAATTTAGTATCATCCACAAATGTGGACAGAGTACACTTCACACCTACATCCAAGTCACTGTTGAATATATTGAAGAGTACAGGTCCAAGGACTGAACCCTGCAGAACCCCATTGCCCACATACTTCCAGGTCGATACCGACCCGTCTACTACCACTCTCTGGGTGCGACTGCTAAGCCAATTTGCCACCCTCCAGTCCACGTAAACATCTGTCACAGCCTCTTAATTTATTTATGAGAATGGGATAAGATAACGTATCAAAAGCCTTGCTAAAATCCAAGAAAACAACATCCGCCTCTACTCCTGGGTCTAAGCATTTTGTGACTGGTAAAACGAATCCAGATTGGTCAGGCATGATCTACCTGCTACGAACCCATGCTGGTTTCCTTGCTGCATTATTTTTCCCACTGGACTCCCACGTATATGATCCTTCATAATCTTTTTAAAGACCTTTCCAAAGATGGAGGTGAGACTGACTGGCCCATAATTACTCAGATTCTCCTTTCTCCCATTCTTGAAAATAGGCACCACACTGGCCCTTTTCCAGTCCTCTGGGACCTGACCTGAGCACCACGAGTGCTCAAACAGCCGTGGCAGTGGTTCTGCTGACACCTGCAAATTCCTTCAGTACTCTCAGATGCAGCTCATCCGGGCCTGCTGACTTACAATGTTCAACGTGAGAAGAAAAACCCTACTGTGAAATTATACCTATGTCTCTGGTAAAATAAAAAAATTACAATATCTGAGAATTAATTCAAAAGTTGGAGCCCTCCCTCGGAAAGGGGAGCTCCCATTTCACCCTAACCAATCCAGTGCATGACACAAAACAAGACTCCAGATATGTTTTTCCTTTTATGACTATTGTTTAAGAATAAGATATAATAGTTGCTGATCGGATTACCAGAACTCCTTAGCGCACTTTGCTCCTTCTCTCACTGTTCTAGACACAGCAGGACCCTGAAGTCCCATTTAATTCTACTTTTGTTTCTCTCCAGACAGAATTTCAGTGCTATAATGATATTCACACTCTAACAAGGCTACCTTAGCAGACCAAGGACAGAACTAAAGCTGAGGAAAGCACTATTTTTAATGTTGTCAAAGAAAAAAAAATTCCCTTTGGGGTGAACCTTGAAATTACTTCTTAGGTTTCTGTTACTCAGAAAAGCATTCTGCAAAAAAAAAAATGTCCCAGTCTACAGCAAACTCAAAGGCTTTTTTGAGAGACAGATCGAGAGGGGAGTCACATCTCACAGGCTCAGGAGTGGTGTGTGAATATGATTAGAATCTAAAACTGTTGTCACTTCCCAGATATTAAAATAATTTAAATATTTAGAAGCAATGGAAAAATAAAAAGTTCATGAATTTTCACCTTTGTTTTCTTCAGAAGTAGGTTTTTCTTCAGATTTGTCTAAGGAGTTTTTTGAAACATTTTCAGGAGAAAAAGCAGCTTCAGATTTATTGCTCTTCTCGGGTTCAAGTCTGGACCTACAAGCACAGGAGCACATATATTAACTAATTTCATCCAGCTGGATTTCCCTAGAATGACACTAAGGTGTTAATCAAAGTTTACTTGCAGATACACTATATAGGAACTCAGCCTTGCAAAACTCATATGAAAATTAACCAATCAAAATACAAAATCTACTTGCCATCTTTTTCTACATCATTTGATAGTAAGAAAGAAAACAAATATTAGTTGACTCACTCCTAGAAAAATAAGGATATGAGTTAAGTACAATTTTGTAAGGCTGCAGTAAATGAAAACAATAGATTTCAATAAACTTCCTTTAAAACCTGGTATATTAAAATGTCAATTTTAGGAGATTATTTTTAAACAAAAAACGTTAATGTTCTGTAAGTTTTTTGCAGTAACGGACAGTTTGACATTACTTTTCAAGTAGTTTTTGCATTTGCATAATGTATTGTCAAATATCATTAAGTAGAAAAACACAAAGTCTGAGTACTTGGTTTGAAAAACAGTTGTTTTCCTCAGTATAGTGGGGCAGTCACTCCTTTCACCAGGCAGTTATATTTCCTGGGGCAAACTTGTCCCCACAGAAAACAACATACACAATAAAACAAACAAATACACAAGCAACAAATGGATAAACCAAAGCCTGTGATCCTTCCTCAGACCCTGAGAGGACAACTCTGGCTCTGCGCTTGCTCCTCTCTCTTGCTACCCTCCCTGGGGATTAACTCCCTCTAATCACCCCCAGCAGCTGGCCCAGAGCTCCTAACCCCCTGCAGCTGGGCTCTAGCCTCTGAGCCATGCACCTTCTTACACATCCCCCCTCCCAAGAGTGGAGTCTAGGATACACTCTTCCATTTTTTTAATCCTCCCACCCCCATTTGGGAGAGAAAGTTTGTATTTGCATGTGCAGTCCCAGGGCAGAAGCATATAGAGAAATCAAAAGGCTGCAGGGACAGGTACTATCTCATCAACTGGGGGTTGGCCTTCTGCATACCATTAAGCCATGTTAAAGGGGCATGGTCAGTGACCAACCAAAAATGGGCCCCTAGGAGGTAGTAGCAGTGGATCTCAACTGCCCACTTAAATTGGTATACACTCCTTTTCTATTACAACGTATTTCTGCTCTTGGGGGAGGAGCTTTCTGCTGGGATATAAAATGAGGTGTTCTCTGTCCTCAAACTCCTGGGAAAGAACAGCCCCCAAGCCTCACTCTAAGGCATATGTCTGCAATAAAAATTCCTTGTTAAGTCTGGGCTGCAGAGAACCAGCACATTGCATAGTAGCTGATTTACTCTCCCAAATGCTGTCTCATGCTTGGGTAACCACTAGATCCTTTACAGTGCCCCCTTCTACAGCAGGTCAGTTAGTGGGATCCCCATAGTCACTGACTTTGGTTTTTGCCAGTTGGTGCTTGCAGATGTAACCCCCCACCCCCCCACAAAAAACTAAAAACCTGGCGCTTTACTTTAAACTTGGCACATTAAATGCCAAGCCACGCGCATGCCCAGAAGGGGCAGCATGTTACTTCAACCTGGCTCTGCAGCATTTGTAAAGATTGGGCACTTTAATGGGGCCTTTTTGGCACTTCTATGTAATAGCTCATTAAATCAGCTTCAGCTAAAAGCATCAAAAGGCCCTGCTTTTTGATCACCTACGAAATATTTGCCATACATATTTCACCAATGATAGTGCAAAAATATCTTAATATTGGGATTGAAAAATAACAGCAATATATTTTATTCAGTAACTTCAGAGGTTTACTTAGAATTCTGTAACAGCAAATAAACTGCTTAACTACTATGCTGTGATATGAAGAATGTAAAGAACAGATCTCATGTTTTAAACATTTTGAGTACTGCTGAAAATCTGCTAGGTAATAAGAAACTAAAATAGCATTTGTAGTGTTAGCTTTCCTAAAAAGTAGTTAATTTCATATATGACCTGTACTCTTTTGCTGCTTAACAGAGTTATTGCTTGTGGTTCTTGCACAGACATTTTCTTTTAATTCTTTTACTTTAAGTATTAGCATAAATTGGTATATTATCTATGTAAGACATTGCTCAAATATAAGCAGAGATCAAAACTGGACAGAAAGCCTAATTTGATTGCCCTCAGGACAGAATATCTAAAAAGGTAAAAGAGAGGCAACAAGCATCTCTATTTGGAACTAAAATTTAGTTACAAGAAGTAGGGATTCAGGAGAAAGGCTTGCTAAATCTGCACAATAGAGAAAAGTCTAACATAAGCTTTAGTTGTTCATACAGTTCATATTATTATTCTAACACAATTAAATTGCTGATTTCCTAGATAATAAAAAATTTGTTTTTACTAAGACTTTTGTTTTTTCTTTAAAAATGTGTACGTTGTCAGAGATTCCAATCTGCACCTCGGATGAGAAGCTTAAAGTCTGAGATATGTTAAAAAACATAACCCCCAGTATGGGTGCCAGGCTGTAAGCATGCGAAAGCATTTTGCTTGGCACGTGCTCCTCAGGGTAGACAGTGGGGAAAGGGCCAGGGCTGTACAACAAGGATTGGTCCCCTCACGGTTCTCCTGCAATCCGCCCCTGGCATGCCAACATCTTACAATTCATGGTTGTGGGTGTTTTTGGCACTACACCCAAAAACACTGCTGACCTCTATGTTAAAACTTTGAGGAGGTAACAAGCATTAATGCCTGTTTAATCTAACTATAGAAATTTATATAAATGTCTTATTGCCTTTGCACTTCTCAACCCTTCACTTTGGGCAATTAATCATAAGTGTTTGGCAGAACTTTTTATCACAACAAGTGAAATCATACAGAGTCAAGTTATATTATATCAGAAACTTAAAATACTCAGGACCTTTGTTTAAGATTTTGGAATGTTCCTCAAAATTAAAATAAACTAGATTGACTTAATCTTGAGACCATACTAAAAGGTGTGTGTTAATTGTGTTAACAAGCATATATTTAATACCCACTAAACTGTACTAAATAAGATCTATTGCAGGATTGACTATTAAATAAATGTATCCTTTTATTATTGTAATCCTCAACTTCCAAAGTATGCTGATGTACTAGTTTTTCAATTAAAATGAATAAAAAGCTTGCAATGCAGAAGACTTTAAGAAAACATAGTTTAAGTGATAACACAGATTCTTATTCTCACATAAAATATACCCTGAAGTCCTGAGGGAAGTTACAAATCAAGTAGTTCTAGAGAAAAAAATGGCTTTTTCATAAACGTCATGGAAAAGATTGGTTTATGCCCTGTGATTTATTTATATTGAATTTTAATTTAAAAAGCAATTTAGCCATTATATTACATCTGCAATGTATATATTCTCTACTTGGCTAACATCTGTTTGTCAGTTCCCACACTTGAGTAAAATAAATGGCAAAGCCATATCATTTAGTCTTCTACAAACGTTGGGGGATTTTTTCACTTGTTGATTTTTTATGTGGGTTTTTTTTTGGTGGGTTTTTTCCCCCCTTTAAAATGTTATAAGACTGCTTAGAATCTAGAAATATTCCATGTTCTAGTGTAGCTCTTTTTCACTGTTCCATCTTTGTCATACATAAAATTAAGTTGTTCTCCTATTTGGATATGTGAAAAATCTTGGAAATAGGCTTCACATTGTAATTATAGAAAAAGGACATGGAAAGTGGAATAGCAGGGAACACTTATTAACCAATTAGACGGTTGCTAGCATCATGGGCTGCTTGCAGATGTGGAACCTGCTCCCCTCCCCCACAAACCCATGCTTTACCAGAAGCAGCAGCAAGTCAGTTCGACCCAACTCTGCAGGGACTCTGTCTGCATAGATCAGGCACTTCAGTGGGGCTTTTTGGTGCTTTTATGTAAAGCTGATTCAATCAGCTATTAGAAAAAAGTGCCAAAAAAGACCCACTAAAGCACCCGACATATACAGAGCCAGGCTGAATTAATGTGCTGCCTCGTCTAGGCATGTGCTGGGCTCGGCGCAGGAGCGTGTCGAGTTTAAATTAAAGTAAAGCATGTTTTGATTTTTTTTCCACATCTGCAAGCAGCTATGCTGTCCATCTTCAAAATTCAATATTAAAAACACTGAATCTGACAAGATAGTTCATCTAATGTGCAAGAATGTTCCATTTGAGTTTGTTTCTAGCTTGTAGTTTCACCTGGGGGTGCTACATTTCAACAGTTATGAAGAATTTCAGGGGGCAAATCCTAACTCTTCCATACAGCTGGTTTATGCCCTTCTGCAAAATAAAAATAAAACCGTTTTCCAGTATTCATTTCTAAGGGGAGAAACCTTGAGTGAATCTCATCATCATTGATTATAGATGTATTTCACGATTCTGAATGCAACATACTCCCAAGGGATTTAAAAAAAAAAAAACACCCTACTAGTTTTTAATTTAAATAACACCTGCCATGTTCAATTTCCAACACATAAAGGAGTATGACTTCTTTGAAATATGCTTAAAAATAAAACTACTAGTACATGTCTGCCATATAAAAACCTGACTAAGGAAAATTCAGGTTGGAATTTGCAAAAAAAAAAAAGAAGTGACAAACTTAAAATTGATAATTTGCCCATTTGGTTATTCAGTCTCTTCACATGAACAAAAGGAAAACTCATAGGCAGTTATCTTTTTGATAGCTGGCTGGAAAATACAAATTGATTTCTTTCACAGTGGTTTTGGGTTCCTTGAGAAAGACACGGCTAGATGTTTCAGAGGACTTGTAAAACACTGGGAAACTCTTCACTTCTAGAGCTTTCGTTTAAATCTATGCAATGTTGGTAGGAAGTAGAATCTGCTACCTTCTGCTAGCTATACAGCAAAACTACAAGGTAGTTTTAATCAGTCCTGATCACAAACACCTACCACCTAGCTAGTATCAATTTACACCATTCATATCAACTAAACAGAAAGATCAGAGATCAACAGATATAATATCTTGTACCATCAGCACTGAGGCATATTGTTGCGTCCCCATGCTGGATTATATTACATACAGTATCATACCTCTTATTTTAAAAAGGAAGAATTATGGAGGTAATTTCAGATTCTTAAAAGAGTCTCCCTATTTGTAGGTGTCAAGCTGGATTGTTAAAATAAGATTTTCCAGTTTGCGATTTATTCAAATACATTTCTAAAATCTACAACAAATGGTTATACATTTTAGCAGTGTGCATTTTATAATCTTTACTGTGCGTGAAAGCAGCATAAAACAATTTTACTATTGAGCCGTTAGCTTGCTGAGGTTATTCCATCTAAAACAATCTGCTCATAATCTGCTAATGAATAAGTGTATCCGTGAAGTTTATACTGTCCCATTCACTTAGACCACATCTATTCAGCAAATGAGTTTCTTAAGCAATCAGACAATTTCTAAGTAATGCTACTTACAATCTTTTCTTATCTACCACTCGTTTGACCCGGATGGCTCTCTGTTCAGAGTACAGTTTACATACTCCTGTTGAACATGGCAAGAAAACATACAAACACAACAAATGCAGTTAGCAGATCATGATTAAACATATATATTATTATGCTCTTAAATATAAAAACAACCAGGCTGACCAGATTGTATCATCAAATGACCATTCAATTCTGGACTGTTATTAATTTCTTGAAAAGGCATGCAATTAATTACTTTTTAAATAGTCTTCAACTAAATCCAAGACAGCTGCTCTGTGCTCCTTCACTTGTGGAGGCAAGACTTCCTTGAGTGCTGAAATGAAAAAGGAATCATGTTAGACTTTGTTTTGAAGTATATGAGAGTTCATGTCTTCAGTTTTCTAGCAGATGCTCTTTAAAGACAATTTCACATTTACAAACAGAAGACATTACCAAACAGAATTATTGATATATTTTAAGGAATCAAAAAAAGATATTCATGAGAGCAAATGATTTAGAAGAAATAAAACCCAACAGGAAACATGTAATTTCTCTGTTCTATCATTGTGGGTATATCTACACGTGAAATTAAGGCAAAGCAATAAACTCCAGAGCTGTTTGAGCCAGAATAAACTGCTCCTGGGCATACTGTCTACACGTGCACCTGGGACCGCAGAAATTTGAGCCAGGGAGGAGCAAGCCCAGGCTGGCAGAGGGCACAGGGGATCATCCCTGGGTGGCAGCAGCTGGCAGTAGAGGAGCTGGCAGGGTCATGAGGGTGCTGAAAGTGTGGACCCATGTGGCTAGGTGACAGGTAGGAGTCTGACACTCACCTGGTGACCATCTACATGTGTGTTTCAGTGGGGTTAATTGCTTTGCCATAAAATAGTACAGCCCCCAACAGTACTATCTTATGGTGGAGAATTAGTTTACCATGTCCTAATACTGGTTCACATGGAGACGCTTTACCCTGGAGCTAATTAGTCTACTCCACAGTAAAGCACATATGTAGATGCCACCCTGTGTGTTGAAATTTCCTGCAGGCATGCTTCTTATGTGTGTCAGCTACTTGTGTATTATAGAACAGACTTGTGCTCAAGCTAAGCTTGAAGAGAGAAAAAATAAAGACTTATCTATAATATTCTAAATCAGGGTTTGGTAATCTATGGCCATCAGGCCAGATTCAGACTACAAAGTAACTGAAGCTGGCCTACAGCAGCATGGAGGGTAGGCAGCATGAAGCCTGCCCAATGTATTCCCCTTCTGTTGCCCTGCACAGAACTCTCAACATACACCCCCTGATAACACTTCCTGCTACTCTCTCCCCCGATCCTGCAACAGGTGCTGCTTAACCATGGCCATCAAATTCAGCCCTCCCCATGATTGCTGGGGACAGGAATTGGCAGAGGATGGTGGAGGTGGCAGCAAGTGGCCCATGGCCTGTGGTAGTGGCTGACCTGGACATTACCAAGAGCAGGGCTGTCCAGCTTTTATGACCCCAGGGCTACATGCCCCAGTGGTAACACCTGGGTGAGCTGCACACTGTGTGGGCTACGGGCTACTGTGCCTCACTGTGCAGACCCTCTCTCCTGCTGCTTTGTGCACACAAACAGACATACTGCACAGCCCCCCCCCCCCCCCCCCCACACACACACTGCTGCACTGGGCAAGCATGATTTCCCCCTCTCCCCCTGCAATGCATACCCTTGCAGGAACCTGCCAGTGGTGCTGGGTGTGAGCATGATCTCTTCCACTCCGCATGGCCCCAACTCACCTGTGAGCTGCACTACACTGTCCCACCCCCTGGGTAAGGGCAGGAAGCAGCTGCCAGAGGAAGGAGGGGGAGCCCAGAGACTCTGGCCACTGTTGTAGCCAGAGGAATGGAGGGACCAGTGGCTGGGTGAGAGCCTGTGGGTCACAGCTTAACCCCTCATGTGGCCTGTGACTTGCCACCAGCACAGCCCTGACCCAGATACTTCCTTGCTATCCT